ACTTTTATAAATATGATACTCCAAAAGTTTCGTTTTCCCGTTTCACCCTCAGTTTGCTTTCAATTAAATGGGAGGCAAAAAGCTTGCCCTGCCAGCGATCCAAAAGTTTGTTCAAACTTTCTGACAACTGACAAGTTTGAACATAGAACGAAGGCTGAAAAGATTTTTCATTAAATCCTTATATACTTTAATTTTAACACTCACTAGGTAGGCCAACTTTAAAATTAGCCATTTAATTAAATCAGTCAACATGTTACCCACCAAATATAATGATGAAGAACTTCTAAAGTTTGCTCAGTTTTCGGTTGACCAATTTCTATGTAAATATTATTCAACATTTGTTAACTGTCCACTTGCTGCCAAGGCCTTTTCAGTTTTCCCCGCAGCCCCAAAAGTATGTTTGGAAAAGCACACACAGAGTCACGGGTAAAATCAAAGAACCCAGTGAAACCAATTCCCCGGATCCCCGATTCGATACACGCCAAGCCACCCAAAATGTGCGAACATTTCCCCAGGCGAATTGGGAACGCTGAATGACTTTCGTTGAATTATTTATAGCCGACTTCTTTTTTATTTACATGAAGCTGCTTTTTTAGCTGATAACTCTGCACGCGAACTCGGCAATCTGAACTCCATAAAAAGCCGAGCTATCAAACAGCAGCAACACTTTGCCCCGATCCCAGGAATTAATGTGTGCAGGGAGATAAAAAATACAGGGAGTCGACAGATTTCATTTGCATGTATTTTGTTTGAAATTCCCTTTTTATTCGGGCGAAAGACCTTGACAATCACCATGTGATGACGTGCCAATGTCGAGTTGGGATAGGTTGTTATTTTACCCGATGGCAGTTTTGTTTGCCACTACAACTTCATGGATTTGGCACTTAGCCAGCCAAAAAAAAAAAGCCAAACAAAACAAAAAAAGGTGAGAGGAGACGCATGCAGATGCAGAGATACATTTGCATTTGCACATCTGTTCGAGGTCGCAAGCCGAGCAAAACAGAGATGCCGACGCACAAAAAACCTACACGAAAGCAATCGTTTAAAAACGCTTTATTGTTATCCCGGCGAAGGGGGAAGGGGGCAGGGGGCTGGAACGCAATTAGCCGCGGAATCGAGAGATCGCCAGACAAGCTCCCCACAGCCCCACTTTCGCGGGAGCGCTGCAGCAGCGTTCCAAATTGAATGTAATAAGAAAATGCAATAAATTCTCGCAAAAGCAGACAAAAGCGGAAGGGGCCACGAGCGAGTGGAAGTCGAAAAGAAAATACACTATAGGTGAACAATTTGTTTTTAAAGAATGCTATTCAGATGTACAATTAACTTTTGAATATATATTATCGAGCATAGAGTAAAATAATAAAAGGACTTTAACTTAAATTTGGTTAGAACGATAATTATCTTTTTGTGTAGCCTGATATTGCCCACAGCCTTATTTATGGCCCAAATAGTATTCTTCCCACTCAACAAAATCTTTTCAAGCTTCAAATAAATTTTGTTAATTTCAGAACATTATTCGCTAATTACTAAACGGTGCCAACAGTTAAAAATTAAGTGTTGGCGTAACATAAACACTAAAATTTTGAAAATATATTTGTAATATGCACAAAACTATAACCCAGGTTTTTGTTAGCGAGTCGTAATTAAAAGTTATGATCGCAATTAATGGTGCATTTCAGTGAATTTTTTCCTTGTGCACCAAATACATTAGCATTTCCATATGACCACCTCCCCAACGCGATCAATTAAGACCCAAACAAAAACCGATCGCTGCCGGCTGCACAGTGGGCCTGATCGGTAAATGAGCAGCGGGCCTGCGCCGATTTCACGAATGCCAAAGAGCAGCGGCTGCGACGCAACTGCGATCACATTTGAGGGGCAGACAGACGCGAATTGTATCTGAGAGATACGAGTACGCAGGCAGTCCAAAAGTTCGACTGAACGGGTCGCCGGGAGCGAAACTTTGTTATTTTTTTTGTTTTTGCTCTGCAGCAAATGGCAAGCGGCCATTGGTTTTCAGCTACCGATTGAAAAGTGCCAAAAAAATATAGCCAAACCGGGAAACGAGAAGAAATAAAAACGAATGTGAGCTCTCATCGGCAGTGTGATTGTTTGGACAACAGCTGGAATATTTGAATACAGAACTCAATTGGCTCTTCCGCATTTCGAGAATAAATAATTTATATTTGATTAAAATGTGATTAAAATGCTCACAAGGAGTATAAGTGAATGTATATGTGAAATCAACCAGAATAAAATGTCAATCAATAACCGAGTAAAATGCTCATTAATTAAATTTGCATACATTAAATGCTAATTTTCTAACAAGCCACCAGAGTGAAATGTCAAAGCCAAGACAATTAAATTGCATAAATTAAAATTAACCATGAACAGCATAATGTCCTTTGATAAAGCTGTTTTTACAAGTTAAAATATTTGTAGTAAACAAATCGTTAATCACCATCAATGGTGAAACGTAAAATGTGCGATAAGATTGGCTTTGTTATTTTGATTGTTTGCTTGATTGCCACAATTTGTGTCAATTATGCGTGAGTGACACGCCCTTTGTAAAACCTCCCACGCTTTTAATTGAAATTTGTCTGTTTTTTGTCGTTTCTGCCGCCTTTTCGTGTCTTGTCTGCGTGCGAAAAACTCTCAGTTTATGCTGATAAGGAAAATTAAAGCTGAGCAAAGCTCTCGGAAACCGGGAAATGGCGGGGAAAGCGCCAAAAGTGAGCCAAGCAAAGACAATAACAAAAGCGGCGGCAAGGCAGTTCCCTGAGGGCAAGATAACAAAAAAGCAGAGCAGCAAAGTGAAAGTATGGGATTTTTATTGGAAATTACCATTCCAAGATGCGAATCGATTTACTGATGATTTAGCAGGTTTGAGGCGGCAGCACATGGGACCCTTACAAAGTGTTCAGATATAGGCTAAGTGCCCTGGAATAATTCCCAGAAATTGGCCAAGTGTCGATATAATTTATTGGTCCGCGGAGATGGTTTATACGAACTCTAGGGTACCCTCCATTAAAAAATATATAATAAGGTTTGCAAAAGATACAAGTGTTTCCTGTCCTACTTTTCGTCTGGAACAATTTTCATTATAGTATATAGATGCAGCGTACAGAAATGAAAAGCTGCGATAAATTAGGCAAAGTGTTGAGTTAATTTATGAGATTTGAAACAAGTCGAATATAAAATGCTCTCTTACTTCCTAGGCGTATACTATTTCGCTATACTTTGGCAAAAACCAACAACTTTGGAAATGACTAGCATACCCAAAATACTGTGTGATGTTCAAAATGATTTGCCGCCGAGTGAGCATTTCAATGGGCTTTAATTGCCTTGCTTGCAATTGAAATTTATTGCCTAGTGTTTTGTGATATCTAAAGCAAATTATTCATAAATTACTATCTACTTGGCCCAATGACGCCAACATTATCTGCTATCTACCGTACAGTATGCCGCTTTATCTATGCAACCGAATTCCAATGGCTTTCAACATGCCCATTTACATGTCGACCAGCAAATGGTTTTCAGAGCAATTGGCAATGGGATTTTACCACAATATTTTATCTCCAATTTGGGCGAGCGTGTATGTGCACGGGTTATTTATTTGGCCGCCCAAATATTTGCTGTTTCTATTAGAGTCAAACCGCCCGACTAACCGAAAAGCGAAAATGTTGTGATAGTTTATGGTCTGTCCGTGTCTCTGGCAGATAAATAATTATTGCATTAGCCCCGCAAATGTCGAACCGAAACGCTCTCGATTCGATTCGACTTGAAGCAACGCCCCAGCTTGATTTTGAGCCGGGCCGCGAAACGTGACACTTGGCTATCAGTTGTGGCACCGTGGCTAAGAAGCGGGGGCATGTGGCACGTAACAGGTAACAGGTAACGGGCAACCGCGGCGAAGGTTGCGGTTGGGGAGATGTAAGCGGAGATCCGCCCACTGCGAGAATTTATCTGCTATCCTCCGTTTCGTGGCTAAGATAAACACGCTTGCAAAATTAGCAATAAATAATGAAGTGGTAAATTGCGCTGATAAATTACGCGTTTTAAGACCGAGAAAGGTAAGACCGAACAGAACTAAGAACTAAAGGAACTTCACAATGTTTTTGTAGAGCAAGTAACCCATTTTTTTCAGAACAAGTTTTAGAATTTACTTAGTTATGACCAATAAATAGTGCAGTTAAAAACCTCGTCTGAATAGCGGGTAACACCTCAAAGGAATTTCCACAAAAATTTCCATAAATTCCACGCCTTCACATTTTCATAATAAATTGTGATACAAATACTTTGCAAATCGAACTAAAAATTTCTTTGGGGCTTGGATCTTTATCTTATTATGAATCATATCAACTCACAAAAGGCGCGTCGATCAGTATTAGGTAATAATGTGATAAATACGTCAAGGCAATTAAAGCTTAAAATGAAATATTTTTATCTCTTTCAAACAAACAGTTTGATAACAACAAAAATGTAAAGCTCATAAAAAACACATTAAAGCATTTCATTTAAAAACTTAATGCAAATATATCGAAAAGTTTATAAGTTTTGGCAGTCACAAATCAGTCTAATATATTTAAGTTTGAACGATTATTTGAGCCGGTAATATTTATAAGTCGAGATAATCATTTTTATCGCTCGTTCCATCAGCTGCGAAGGGGATTCCATTTCCAAATCAAATCAAATCGAATCACTTCTTGTTGAATTGGGTCTCGGCGAAGGCGGCCCAAAACCGGCTGGCCAAAGCCGTGGCCAGTTAACAAGTTTCGTTCGGTCGAATCAATTAGCGGCCAAGAGCGTCATCGGGCCTCGGGGTCTGAGGCTTCTGATCAGTTTGGGTTTGGGTTTACTTATGTTAATCAGCTGGCCGCGGTGCAAATTGGCGCTAACAGCGCGCTACTGTTGGCTAACAGAGCCCCCGAAAGCTCGCTACGGATGGTTCGCTACAGAAAAAGGCCGTCAGTTGGCCAGAACGCGTTTGTGACTCGAGCGGAGCGCACGTGCCGGGAAAACGACGAGCCAAGTCCGTTGAGCCAGAGGCCAAAAGCGAAAGCTGGGGAAAACTGCCCCTACATTTTCCAGCAACAACAACGAGTGTGTGAGTGCGTGCGAGAAGAAATCTTGTGTAACCCGGAGAGAGAGAAAGAGAGAAAGATAGCGAGAAAGAGAGGGCCACAGCTGGGAAACTCACCACAGGCCACGGACTTGGATTTTCCGCTCGTGTGAAAATATTCACACGCTCACTACGTTTCGGTTCGCCCGCAAAGGCAGTTGCTCCTGAATTCCCAATTCTCGTGCGTGAAGTGCAGTGTAGTCCAATAAGACCAATCAGAATAAGTCATCGGTCAGAAAGTAAACAAAATAAACGCCACATGCTGTTGGCACAAGTGCTTCAAACCACTAAGTGTACAAACGAATTCTGAACCCCATGAACCTCAAGGAATTCTAACAACGCCCCCATGACAATAACAGAAAAGCGGTCATAACTACACCAGCCATTAAGCATAAAAAAGTGCCATAAAGCGTTGGGGGGATAAGCTCGAAAAAAAAGGACAACTGAATCGGAAATGATAGTAACTGTTGCTCGTCGCTCACAAACACCATCGTTGTGCCAGTCGCACCGAGCTTCAGTTGGGTCCTTTGTGGATTTGTATTTGCGATTCCTTCCTCGGCTCCAATCAATGTGGATTTTGTAGATTTTTTCTGCCTATACAGGGTAGTGAAAGAGTTGGACAAACTGAACAAAATTTAGTTGTTAGTTCGGTAGAGGCAACACTGCGTATGATTGATTTATTTTAGAGTTGAAAGAAGATATTTGAAATTGTTAAAATGGAATTTAAAAAACTTTTTACGAAAAAACAACACGTACCACAAGCAATTTAAAATGTTACGATAACGATGAAAAAGTTTTTTATTTGACAAAATGGTCAATACGTGTGAGTGATATAGAGACAGTACACTTTATTTCATAATAAATTAATAAGGTGTGACAAAATCAGAATAAGGTGTTGGCAACAGCGACAAAAACATTTCCCGTCTTTTTATCAACACTTCAATAAATGAAGTGAAACAAAAACAGTTTGTAGAACATTTGAACAGGGTATAAACCATTCGCACTGCAATTGAACCCACCTGCACAGGTGAGAGCAGTGGCCAGCAAGAACGTGTCTGTTGGCGAAGCACACAAAAATTGGCGTTGCAAAAATTTCAATAAAGGTGAAAACAAAAGCAAAACATTGAAATAAAAATTATTTCGTTTGCACTTCGCTTTTTATTTGCACGCGCGCCAATTCTTCGTCTCTTTTTGCGTCTCCTGCTCGCCAAGCTGGGAAAAATTATATTATTTTCAAGTTATTATTTAGCTGACATTCCCCCAAAGGGGGTGAGTGTCCACCCCCTTTAACCCTCTCGGAAATTCTTTTGTATAATCAACGGTCGGCGCATTAAAATTAATGCTAATTATGAGCTTGTTTGTCCGTCGCTCGGTGACATTTGCTTGAGTTTTTGTTTAATTGCTGCGCTCGTTATGAGAAAATCAATTGAAATCGATGCGGGACGTGAGTGAGTGAGAAATAATTAAATAAACGACGGACATGCAGCCAGTGATTAATAAAATTATGCAAATCGCTTTGCGCAAATTAAAGCGAGGCTCTGTAGTCCAGTTTGGCTTTATTGTTTTTTCTCGCCCATTATTAACGTTAGATGGCATTTAAGGTCTAATAAAAACACGCCGAGAACAAAAACTGAAAATCAATAAACACAAAGCCAGCGAGAAGTACGTAACAGGCGGAGGCAACAACACCCAAATGCGGCAACAACAAGTGAGCAAGTTAAAGAACCTTTGCGATTTGTAAACGCTGCGAAATACCTGTCGAGTGAGGCGACCGAGAACACTGAGCTGAGCTGAACTGAACTGAACTGCAAGGAACACTAACAGAACAGCAACAATGTCGGAGGGCAGTGATAACAACGGGGATCCCCAGCAGCAGGGCGCCGAGGGGGAGGCGGTGGGCGAGAACAAGATGAAGTCGCGCCTTCGCAAGGGAGCTTTGAAGAAGAAGAACGTCTTCAATGTCAAGGATCACTGCTTCATCGCCCGGTTCTTCAAGCAGCCCACGTTCTGCTCCCACTGCAAGGACTTCATCTGGTGAGTATTCCTTGTTTTCTAGCCCCAAGCATCCCACATTCCCCTCCCCCTCACCCCCTCTTCTGCCCAGAACCACACATGTAGAAAGCCATCCCCACAAGCCCCCCTTCCAGCGGTGGCACTTGTGGGTCTACCAAGCATGGCCAGCAATGCGTCCACATAACATCAGTGGTGGGAATCGATAAATGTATATTGACAAGGCGAAAGAACTGAGCAACAAAAGCGGAATAATACAAATAAAGCCAACACATAGCAACAAAAACCACATTTGCAATGGTGGTTGACCCAAAGCCTAGGTTTTTAATATTTCATAGGTCAAATTTGTGGTCAGCCAATGATACTTCAAATGTTTTCTTTGGCAAAGCAATGCATTTCATGAAAAATATAAAATCAGTGGGTGGATAACATTTTAGAAAAGAATCTTAAATATATTTGTTAGCCTAAAGAGCAGGTTTTATTTATTACTTAATATTTATTTGAAGAGATGGTAAACATTTAATTTGGTTTAAATATGACAAAACAAAATATGAGATTGAATAAAATTACTTGGTTATGTTGAAGAATGTTGAAATTACGCTTACATACAAAAGAGTAAATACGAGTGAAGTTAAAGGAGAGAAATCACTGTAGCAGCAGTCATATTATTCCCCTGAAACACCTTTTGTTCCTGCTGGCCAGAAAGTTCAACACGAAGCTACAACAAGCCAACAATTAATTTAGGTAAGGCTGCCAAAATCTGTCTTAATCCATTGTTGCTCCCCGGGCCAAAACAAACAGAAGAGCAAGGAAAAAAGCACTGAAATTATTTGGGGTAACCTGTTTGCTTTTGGCTGTCCCGGCAGTCGAGTCCCAGTAGTCACTTCCTGGCTGCCAGCATCCCCGTGGATTATAAATCAATTTCATGCGCATTAAATTCCCCTCCGAAAGACCTGAACTCCGCTCCCGTTGAAAACTTATTTGTTGACATGAATTTTGAACAGAATTTTGGTTTTTACAGCGGTTATCAGTCGGGATACGCGTGGATGTAGGTATTTCGAAGGATTTACTTCAATCTGTTCGTTGAGTAGTGCTAGAGAATCGCGGTAGAGCTTCCATTTCATTGACTGACATCTGAGAAAGTCGGAGTTCATCTCGCCCCCCACAAATTAATTAATTCGCCACTTAATATTCATAGTCAGAGTTGCCCTCCAACCACAGACACTTTGACGAGCAATTCCAGTGATATTAATTCATATTTAATAAACAAACACGCTCAGTCTCTCCGCAAAGTGCCATAATGCCAGAGCGTTTCGTTGCGTTGCGTTGACAATTTAAAGCCAGCGACTAATGAATGGATATGGAAGTCGCTCGCATAAACTGGGGCCAATTTATAAAGCTTGTCTTGTGACTCTCGTCATCGCTTTGGGCTCTTTAGCTAATTGTCGGCCAAGACATTTTGGCAATAATTAAATTAATTGCTGTTTAAAATGCGCCACCAGCCGCCAGCCGCCAGCATCATCGATCTATGCCCATAAATCCCCAGCGGGGGCCAGAACCGAAAACGGAAAACCGAATTTTGGGAGTCCACAGCCCCAACCCAAACAAAACAAGCGTAAAAAATCGCAAAAAGCGAAGTAGCTACTCGCTGCTCGACGGCACTGCATCATTATTACACGTAATTAACGCGCTTTGACAGCAATACCGGCAAACAGGCTAAAAGCCACGCCCCCTTGCCACCCTTGCCCCACTCGCCTAAAACGCCCGTTTTTGGGTGCTGCAGCTAATTAACAACTCCAGCCACTGTTACACTTGGTTTCGACTTTTAATTAATAGTGCGGGGACTTTGGGGGCACGCACACCGCGCTCGGTGTTGCAAAAAGGCGTTGCAGGCACGTATCTGAGCCACTGGAGGGGTGTTAAGTGGGCGGTGGCTCAGGGGTGGATCAGGAGGTGGCTCAGGTGGTGGCCTACGGGCTGGGTGGAGCTCTGGGGGTGCGGCAACGGCACCAAAGTGTCCCCGCCTCCGCTTGCGGGTAGCAGGTGAAACATTTGCCATGTTTACGGCACGTCATTTGCATAATAGCGCGGAAACCGAAAAGGTCACGATGGAAATTCCAGATACAAGCCCGAATTGCCCTGAACATATCAATTTGCAAATTTACGGCCGAAATAAAAATTCGTTTTAAGAATTACAGCAAATATTTGTAAAATCACGGAGGTGGTCTGAATAACTTATTAATAATTATGTAACCTTTAGAGGAACAAAGTATAGTATCAGCTTTAATAATTTAAAAACCTGGTAAATTCACAATTTATAAATTATTAAGTTTTGAGGTATTTTTCAGCGATTCAGAACTATTCCTTTTGTTTGATTAATTAACTTAAATTGCAAACATTCTTAACCCCAGTCCTTTGTGCCAGTTTTTGCGATGTCGGAAAATATGCGCTTAATTAAAAATGAAAAAATGCATAAAAAAGGTGCCGTGAAAAAATAATTGTGTGGGCGCAAGCGGGGAAGGGCGGGAAAAGGGAATAATAGTATAACTGCAGGCGCGGGAAAATTGCTTTTTCACTTCATTTGATGGGCAAACAAAAACGGGAAAAACCCAGGGGGGAGAACTGAAAACAGCGAAAAGCCAGAAACAGACAACCTGGTCAGACAAAAGAATTAAACTTAAATGGAAAATGCGGGCTGCAGCAAAGGCAACAAACAGAATTATGAAACGGGCCACAATTTTGCACTCGTTAGCAGCAATAACAAATTGTCCGATTTGTGTGAATTGTCCAAGTGGTTACGACCTAATCGGATCAACTTTGCTTTGGCTTAACGGCCAGAACTTTAGCCGGCATTCGGGTCCTTTCGTGCTGAAACTTATTCAACTGCATTTGCGAAAGTTGGCCAAACAGTTGCCAGTCGCTGGCACTTGGCTCCTTCTATACTTATATATATACTATACATATATATATATATATATACTATAGGTTAAATGCGTTTTCACGCCGTGCATGTGAATAATTTGCCTTGTCCCAAATTGCGGCCAGGCTTCTGACGGTTAGGGGCTGGCTAGCGGTTTGTGGCCAAGTCATTAATGGTCAAGGGTTGGCATACGCCTGGGAGCGGCTCACGTAAGCCTCAGCCTTTCGGCCCAACAACAGGTTCTGGCCATTAAGCCGTTGTCCGGAATTGCAGGCTGAATGGCTTAAAGTTTTTGGTTTTTATAGGCAAATATTCATGAAAGCTAGGTCACGTTTTGGAATTTAATTCTGGCATTTTAAATTACCTCAGATTTTCTTAAACACTTTTAATTCTAAAAAAACACACACATATCGTATAATATGCATTTGTTTTTTCATTAATAATTTTAATTTTGTTTTTTGGTTTTCATGGCTTAAAAGTAAAAAGTAAATACGATTAAAGCAGTCGTGTTAACATTTTCCAGCCCTTCTCTGTGAGGCTCTGTAAATTGGCAGCCAAGTTTTTATTTTAATTCATACAGCCCTTGGGGCTTGCAAGTAGCGTATTGATTAATGGAGAATTAAATATTTATGCTAATTGGTGTAATGACAGTAGCAATGCCTCCCCGACTGCGAATTGACGAGAATCCGCTTGCTTTCCGTGTTTTGCAGGGGCTTCGGGAAGCAAGGATTTCAGTGCCAAGGTAAGGATCCCCCTGGAGAGCTCCGAGCTGCGAATAACCGAATACCCTTCTCCGCCCGCAGTTTGCTCCTACGTGGTGCACAAGCGGTGCCACGAGTATGTCACCTTCATCTGCCCCGGCAAGGATAAAGGCATCGATTCGGTAAGTGCGCACCAACACATATGCTCAACAGGATTTGCGTACAGACACATACGAGTATAGATACGCAGGACGAGGCACCCGACTGCATTTCCATGTGCGGAGCAGGCGGAACGGGGACTTATTTGCATTGCTTTTAGTCTTTGTGGGCTCTGTCAAATTAAACTGTCATTTGGATTTTCGGTTATGCCGGTCGCAGTCCGTCCCCAAAGTCCCAGCTGTCATGTCCTTTCGTCCCGACTCGCCTGTCAACTCTGCTTTGCCAGCTAAGCAGACTCGGGCTAAAAATGCGAGTTTTCCCTGTCCAACGGGGGTTTTCTTTGGTTATGGAAAATGTCATTTGGATTTTTCCGCATACAGCATGTTCCCTACACTGTGTATTTAGTCAGGCAACCCACAAAACCAGAACAAAAGTAGGGCAAACCATTTTTGCTACTGAGTAGTTTTTGGACAAGGAAACTGAATATTAAAGCTTTCACCACAGAAATAAATAAATCTTAGCTTTAAGATTCATTCTCAATTTAGTAAAGCAAATCAAAAACTTATATCAAGTGCAATACTTCGTTAATAACTTTTATCTAACCGAACTGAGAAGAATTATACCTGATTTCAACACTTAAACAAATTTTAAAACATAGATATATTTTCAATCGGTAAAAAAAGTAAGATATTTTTGAAGTGTAATGCGGCTTGTCCGAGGAAAATTATTGTGATGGGTAGACAGCAAAATATGGCAGAAATATAGAGAAAAGAGCATCAGATGGATTGGCTTTTGGGGCGGGACAGCTGGGCATTGAAGTAGTTTTTCCGGGCTTTAATCTCAGTCCCTCCTCCCCCAACTACGCACATGGAAAAGGCTGAGAAATAACTTAGTCATAGAGCAGTTGCAAACTTACACTTAACTTAAGTAGAGTTTGTCCTTTGTTATGTTTTCAGTGCGAAAGTTAGTCGCGACCTTGTTGATTTGTCATTGTGCTCTGTTGATTTACCATGAACCAAATTTGTACTTTGTATTCTTTTCCATGTGTGCATCCACCAAAATCAAACCAAAACTCAATTCGCTGTCCAACTCACGCTGTCACTGAACCACGCACCAAAAACCACAACAAACCAAATGAATTCGCAATCGAAATTGAAATTGAAATTGCTACCACAAAAAATAAATAAATAATAAAAATATAAACAAATCAAGGACTCACCAAAAACTCAACACAATTTCGAGCCATTCACATACGCAGGACCCACGTTCTGCGATCACTGTGGTTCCCTGCTGTATGGCATTTACCACCAGGGCCTCAAATGCTCAGGTAACCCGAACCCTTAAGCTAGAACCCTTTTACCCCCCCAGTAAGTGTTCCCCCTCAGCTTCTATCTCTTCTTCTTCTTCTACCTTTAACCACAAAAGTTTTCGCTTCTCTCTTTCACTTAACTTTTAATCCTTTTCCGAAAAAACCCCGACTGACAGTGTAAATAATGATGATAATGTGTACGTGAGCCTGTGTGTGTTTGTGTGTGTGTGTGTGTCCGTGTGCCTTCTGTGTGGGAATTAAATTTTAAACGCAATTTGACCTGGTCAACAACATGGGGAAACTTTCTTTTGCAGGCCCTAAAAGTTAATTATTTAAATGGTTTTCCCTACCAACATACAGATACAGATACAGATGTACAGATACTCGTATACGTGTAAGCAGGCCGCACCTCTGTAAATATGTCGATACACCCGGCAAAGGCTTCCTTTTTTTCGTAAATTGTTTGCTTGCTCTTCACTTTCCCGTAACCGAACCGACCGCACTGAAAGTTTTCTCTGTGTGCCACGTGTAACCCACTTTTCCACCCGCTTTCCCGCCCATTTTCCCCCGCCCGTCCAACCAATTCATTTGCATAATTATGCACATGCCTGGGATACTGCGAGGATTCTAGTGGAGGGGCGAACTTAGTTGCCAAACAATGCTTGTCATTTGTTTAGAAATTGTTCTGCAGCTGCCCTGCGATATAAATATAATTTTAATGTATTTTTGTGGCCCACTAACAGATTGCGGAGGTGCCAGAGATAAAAGTTTTTCAGGTTCTGCCTGAAGGCTGTCGCTCTTAGGGAAAATATAAATGAGTTGGATTCTTTAACCTTCTAAAAATTAGTTATTCACATTTCCATTGCATTTGTGTAACCCCTGAAAATACTATTTCATACTGCGGCCTTAAATAGTTTTCAGCCCACTCCTTAATTTGGCTATCAAGTATTATTTTGAACTGTAACTACTGCGAACCATCCTCAAAGCGGTTTGTCGCTGGATCTGGCAATTAATTCACAGCCATGGTAACTGGCTTAATTAGAACGAGTCAAGTGTAAACACCAAATGCAGAGGCAATAAGAGAGCATTCTGCGAATTGGAAACTCAGATGTCACATCCATCTGTGCCGTCGAGTGTGATGCTGTGGCCATGGCAACCCAGAGTGAAATGTTCCCGTCTGGAAAATGCTTAACTCACTTACCCCATCTGTGGCTTTTCTCTGGCCCCTGTTCGAAATACAATCTGGCCCAATGAGCTTAAATTTAAATGTTGCCGATGTCAGTTGTGTTCGTGCGACTTCTTTGGCCCCCGTTATTGCCACCCCGGCTCATCAAATCGGATCAAATTTATTGCGACAGGTGTAGGCAAATCAATTTTAGCCAAGTTAGCTGCGCACCTGAGCGGCAGAAGCGCCTGGGAACTCTCAGCGTTTGACTGGAATTTGTACCTGAACCGGAAATTGAAAACAAATGCAGTTGGGCCCCTAGAAAGCTATCAGATGGCTGACGGATACCAGCCGATATGACCACGTTTAGGAGACCATATGACCGACAGGCGAACTCCCCTTATCTTGGTTGTCGGAATAAATGACATGGCAATTTATATTTGCCAGCTTGCGCCCCACCGTCCCACCGCCCCATTTGTTATCGGGCATCAGTTGTTAATATGCTGGCAGTTATAGTATATACGCCGGCGTTTATATACCAAAAATTACACTCAATGGAGTAATGGTGGCTGCCATCCAGCTAGATGATGATAGCGATATGGAAAAGTGGGCGGCAGGATTTCCCGCTGGGCGGGGCCAAATTTGTTAGGTGACAGCCAGCGACGCGAGGAATGCTGTGATAAATTCGCCCTGCAAATATTTTTTACAAATTTCTGCGCTGGCTGGCACGTGGCAAATAAGTAGGCGTCAAATGGGGGCGTGTTAGCCAAATGAAATTCTATCTGCGTGTGTGTGTTAGTGCGTGGGCCAAAAGATTTATTGGGGAACGTCTGACGGGGTGTTTGTTTGCGAGGCTTTCATGTGGCAGATACCAGATACTGTGACGCAACGATAAGAACAAAGCACACACTTTTATGCAGTCGAGCTTCGGGGGCTCGAACTTTTATGTTGAGCGAAGTGAGTTGGTTTAGTCTATACGAGTTTTATACAAATTGGGTACTAAAGCAGAGGCGTACAGCTATACTAACTCCATCAGAATCCAATTATTCGGTAACTGAAAGCTACAGCTAAACTACCATCGTATACCCCAAAATCCACAATGACAGGGGTCTCGATTCGAGTGTCAACACCTGTGGCTGTCCAGGTGCTCTGAAAGGTGAGTCCGATTGGAGGCCGCGCGCACACACGTGTTTACCTTCAATGCGATTGCATTTAGCCAAACAAATCCCCCACCACCCCTTCGACCCGCCCACCCGCACGGCCTTGAGCATGCCCGCCAAAGTATGCAACAACTTTTTTCGCTGCGCTGCCAAGGTCCCTGTTTGTCTGAGTGCGCGAGTGTGTTTGCCTTCCGCTGGTGTTTGTCTTTTGGTAGCAAAAGGATATTAATGGCTGAGCAGCTGTTGAACCTTGGCAGATACAAACAACGAATGGCTGAAGCCCCCCGAAAAAATGGAGGAAGGACTGCGAGAATATGGGGGAACCACTCGGTGGATGCTCATGCAGGCGCATAATGCTATCAAATGTCCTTGCCGCCGGCATCACCCACCGCAAGCTGACACAACAATCGACTCGGTCGGTTGTGTGGGTAATGTGTGTTCCAACCGAAAAAAAGGGAAAAATAACCTTAAAGTTTTCAGTCAATGTCACGTGTGAGAGAGACTTTTTGTGTGAGTGCAAGAGCTCCTTGAAAGGGATTAGGCAGCAATTGTCTGGGCAACCTTCGCAAATACTTATTGTCTACTGCATCTATATGTTTGTGTATATACCCACTCATCACACTGCCAACATAAACCCCCTGTTTTCATTTGATTTCGCTGTTTGTGACATGTGACGGCCAACTTGCAACTCAATTAACGTCGCGTTTATTTCATTAGCACGAAAGCAAAACTGCCGCAGTGGAAAGAGTCTGCATTTAACCCTGAAGCGGCAGTGGCTTTTGGAGGCCTAAAATCTGAAAAGTCTATATAATCCTTAAAATTTGCTATCACAAAACCCATTCTGCTGAGCAGAGATCCCAAGAGTTTCAAATATTTTCTACAAATGTTCAAATATTAAAAGAAGTTTTATTAAAAATAGCATTAACCATTTTACATGTAACTAAAATTTTGTAATAAAAATATAACCTCCTAAGACAAAACCATGTTAACAAACTAAAACGAAATATATAAATCATTAGTACCAAGTTGTGTTTCCCATTTTGTGTGTAATTTGCCTCATGTTATTTCGTAATCCTTTGTGTTATTTTGCAATCGCACCTAAGTAGCTATTATGAACACCTATACCTATGCCCTGCGTTAATTTTCCATTAGTTTTCTCTTCCGACTCGAACTCTAAACCGAAATCGAATCCGGTCAGGCGCATCAAATGCCCCACAAATGGCAGAATGTCACCTTCCTGTCGCCGACGTTCTGCGATCATTGTGGGTCTCTTTTGCACGGCATCACGCACAAGGGTCTCAAGTGTCGAGGTAAAGTCCCCCAAATAGTCTCCCCCTTGTAGTATATCCCCTCTGCCCCTGCCCCTCCCCCTTCCCCTTGTCGGCGGAAAGTGTCCCAGCTCATTTGCATTTTTGGTGGCGACGCCGCAGAGTTTTTAGATTGTTGCAATTTACAATTAGCAGCGCTTTGTTCCCGCTCAAGTGTGCACTTGTCTTTGTGTTTGTGTTCGCCAGAGTGTGCGTGCTGTTTGCGTGTGTGTGTGTGTTTGTGTGTGAGTGTGAGTGTTTTGCACACTTGGGCGAGTTGTTTGTTGTTGCTTTTGTGACTGTCGCTGACAAGTTTCCGCCAGCTTTTCCCGCTTTCCCCCCTTTTATTTTCGCTGCCAGCTGCCTGCTCTTAATTTTCTTTTCATTTTACGTTGACATTCTCGAAAACTTGTTAATTTTCACGTTATTGCAAGTGCATGTTGAGTTGGCAAAGCCTCTTAATAAATGTTTACTAATTTTAAAGGCATTAAATATATTTACCTATCTGTAGACCCCGTGTTTATCGTCTGTATGTTCCAATTAGCGTAGAATGTTCCAAGTCATTTGCCTTCGGCGCTATTAAGTATTTAAATATCTGTGACAAGGGGTCCCTTTACCTTTTTGAAAAACAAATTATTGAATTACGCGCCATTGACCCAAACAAACACATACAAAGGCCACACGGCTCGCAGGGAATGCAAATGTGTGAGTGGGCATGGCGGAAGTCCTTTGTGTGTGAGCGTCCCATTGTGGTGTGTGGTTGTATTGCTTCGGAGCTTTTCATTATAGTACTTATTATACTTTTCCAGGCATCGAAAAGGGGAAAAAAAAACTATAAAATGCGGAATTTCTTCCATCATTATTTATATCTTAATAAAATGTTTATAAATTAGTTAGTTTTACAGACAAGCTATTACAGACAAGCATTCCAAAGAATGTCATCTCTTAAATCAATTTACCGGATACCATCTTCATGAAAGTTAAATTATTCAAAGAATTTGCACAGGTTGAATTTTTCAACACGTTTTAGCGATTATTTCTGGACTTGATTTTCCAGACCCAGACTAATGCATTTGGCCATGCAATTACTATATATACCCCCATAAATATTTAATTCAAATAGTCAACCCAAATGAAAAGCTTGTTTAGGGTCATTTTTCTAGGAGCTTTCATAGCTGCGATCGTTGTTCCTGCGATTGCTCAGCGTCAGAGACGAAATGTTGGTGAACGTATGTAGATTGTCTTTCTACTTAACTTTTCCTCTATAATACTGGAAACGAAACAACTCAGGTTGCGGCGAGGGATGGTGTGTCTCCATTCGTGACCGATGTAGATCAATATACTATATTTGCCGAGATTTTAAACGAGAAAAGTGTTGCATATTTCCCGGATGGAAATAAAGGAAATAAAAGGAAAGTTCTTCACTAGCAGCTCCTATAACTGCGATCGTTGTTCCTGTACTCGGCTAACTGCAGAGGACGACATCTAAGACAATAAGTTAATTGATCTGCTAGTCAGACCCATAATAATGCATTTTTCATGGTAGTAAGCAACTGATTCTACCGCGAAGTCAAAATAAATTAGTGAGCAATGATGATGGAAAACTTTAAGATTTTTTTTTTGTTAGCTCTTCTATTTCTTGGCCTTAACTTAGGAAGTCCCAGAAAGTTAACTAGAAGTAAAAACCGTTTACATTCGAATCGAATCGATAAAAAAGTTTAATAATTATTTCAGCTTGTGGAATGGGGCTGTGCGTATCTGTAAGAAATGACTGCCCTCGAGTAACGGGAAGGTGCGTCCAAAAGAACGAAAAATGTTGTAAAGTTAGATGGCATTGGGAATCGAAATGATATAAGTAATTAAAATAAAACTTGATTCCAATACGAAATTCATTGAAGCTTTTCATCAAAGTACTTATTATACTTTTCCAGGCATCGAAAAGGAAACAAAAAACTATAAAATGCGAATGTTTATAAATATACAACTACTTCGTCTTTTGAGAAATTAGTTTTCAATTACAGCCAAGCATTCCAAAGAATGTCATCTCTTGAATCAATTTACCGGATACCATCTTCATGAAAGTTAAATTATTAAAAGAATTTGAACAGGTTGAATTATTCAACACGTTTTAGCGAATATTTCCACATTCTTGCATATTTCCCGGATGGCAATGATTTCTATGTATATATTAAATTACGTTAAACATAGTCTCCCCAAAAGAAAATTTTGTTTAGGGTTCCTTACTAGCAGCTCCCATAACTGCGATCGTTGTTCCTGTACTCGGCTAACTGCAGAGGACAACATCTAAGACAATAAGTTAGTTGATCTGCTAGTTAGACCCATAATAATGCATTTTTTATGGTAGTAAGCAAGTGATTCTACCGCGAAGTCAAAATAAATTAGTGAGCAACGTCGATGGAAAACTTTAAGATCTTTTTTTTGTTAGCTCTTCTATTTCTTGGCCTTAACTTAGGAAGTCCCAGAAAGTTAACTAGAAGTAAAACCCGTTTACATTCGAATAGAATCGATAACAAAGTGTAATTAATATTTCAGCTTGTGGAATGGGGCTGTGCGTATCTGTAAGAAATAGCTGCCCTCGAGTAACGGGAAGGTGCGTCCAAAAGAACGAAAAATGTTGTAAAGTTAGATGGCATTGGGAATCGAAATGATATAAGTAATTAAAATAAAACTTGATTCCAATACGAAATTCATTGAAGTTCCACCAAAGTTGTATTTTAGTATGGTGTATTTGTTTTTTAAACAGATTGTTCTTTTCTTTGATTTATTCCCAAACCGAATAAAAAAAATCATGAATCAGCTTACCAAGTCGTAACCTCGCATTACAAAAATGTTTGAAGTTTGAATCTGAAATATTTGTAATTCAGCAAATGAAACTTTTTACTGATCCACAAAACTGCAAATTCCACAACTAGCAAATGCAAGGGGCAAGGAAATACAAACATAAACACATAGTATATGCAAGGATATGACACACAAAATGGAGGCCACATTATGAATACACACTCGTATCTGTGTGTCTCTTCTTCCTGTGTGTGTTTTTTTGCGCCTCGCCGAAGGGAAACCCTTTTTCCGTTTGTGTACACAGTTTTGCACATTCTGTGCTAACCAAAATGCCGCAGGTCCGACCCGCAAACGTAACTTAAATATCACGCATACGCAGCCAGAGCTGGACATTACGTATACGCACCGTTCGCTTGAATGAAATTAAGACCATGCCAAGGGTGGCGGGGGTAGCAAAAGTAATTTTACACTCCACCAAAGCGGAATGTTGCCAAGAGAAAAGAGCCGAAAGGAAAAGCCGGGGAAAGCGGATATGTGAGAGGAAACTGAAGCAATCGGCAAAAACAGGATGATGCCCATTGATGCCCCTTGATGACCGATGATGATGGCAAAGTACTTTAATTGAAAACAAAACGTATTTCATGAAAATGAATCGCAATTCGATTTTAGCGAATGATTTCCAATCGAACGCTTGCCACTTGTCAGAGTCAGAAATGTAGCCCCAATCGTGGAGGAGCAACAGTTTGTCAATTTCCGCTGGCAGGGAAATGGGGGAAAACAAGCTGTAAAGAGGGTTGCGCTGGGTGGAAAATTGGCTTGGGTTTTATTTACTGATTGGTTTTGCAGATTAATCGGCTGCATTTCCTCCGGTAAACTTTACCTTTCAATGACAGACGCGGTAAGTAGTTCACATTTGCTCTGTTTTCGAGACTGTACCTCACATAGTTGTGTATGCGAGACTGTACCTTTGTGCGTGTGAGTGTGTGTGTGTATGTGCTGTGTTCCACTTCAACATCCAAGTCATGCCTTTCAATCCCCACTAACCAAACTCTTTTAGCCTTCACTCCTCCGACTTCAGAATTTCCAGAGACAGACTGATACATCTTTTTGAACGTTTTTCCAATCCCCTCAGCATGTGACATGAACGTGCATGCCCGCTGCAAGGAGAACGTTCCCAGTCTGTGCGGATGCGATCACACGGAGCGGCGGGGTCGCATTTATCTGGAGATCAATGTCAAGGAGAATCTGCTAACTGTCCAGAGTAAGTGGCCCCGAGCCTAGGGAATACAAATTTAAGCCGCTTAAGCGTTGTTACCAATTATGGCCGAGCAGTCTAAGTTCTTTATTTTTTTGTTCGGCGCCCGCCTTGGGGGCGAGTGGGCGAAAAGTTTACAGTTTCCCCATAAAGGAAAAGTGAAAAAAATGTACATGCCCCGGGAAGCCGCAAAGTTTCCCAAGCAACGCGCTTAAAATGTTACATCTTCTCCACAGTCTTTGCGCCTTTGTATTTCTTCGTTGCTCTGCGTTCCGTTTCGTTTCGTTTCCTGTTGGGGAAACCTTCTCGGCCGAAAGTTGCAAGTCCTTTGGGCTCCTGGGAAAATTGCTTACGATTTGCATTAATTCATTATGCGCGCTTAAGGAAATTCTCCGTATTCGTTCTCCTTCGTTAGCCGCAAATGCCACATAATGAATACCAAACTATAATGCAGTTGCGGAACAAAGGAGTGGATGGGTGTCCTCCAGGACACAATGCTTTGCTCGTGCCCAGGAGCATATTTCACGTAATTTCCTTAGCTGCTTTGTGGCCGGAGTTTTCACTTAGCCGGGATGGGTTTTAATTGACTGCTTATGCAGATGTTTGCACCACCCACATTCCATTGTCCTCCATTTCAGTCAAGGAGGGTCGCAATCTCATACCCATGGACCCCAACGGACTCAGCGATCCCTACGTGAAGGTGAAGCTGATTCCGGATGACAAGGATCAGTCCAAGAAGAAGACTCGCACCATTAAGGCTTGCCTCAATCCCGTCTGGAATGAGACACTCAGCTAGTGAGTATTTTTCAATAAATAAATAAATCTTTATACCTTTGAATTAAGCTGTAAAGAAAACTATGTTCTAAACTATGCTTATTAAGTAGATTGCATTTCAAATCAAATCTTTAATGTTTATTTATATTTGTTACTTCCTCTAGTGACCTTAAGCCCGAGGACAAGGATCGGCGCATCCTTATAGAAGTCTGGGACTGGGATCGAACCTCCCGCAATGACTTCATGGGCGCATTGTCCTTCGGCATTTCGGAGATTATCAAGAACCCCACGAATGGCTGGTTCAAGCTGCTCACCCAGGACGAGGGCGAGTACTACAATGTTCCATGTGCGGATGACGAGCAGGATCTGTTGAAGCTCAAGCAGAAGCCTTCGCAGAAAAAGCCGATGGTGATGCGCAGCGACACAAATACGCATGTGTCATCCAAAAAGGACATGATTCGTGCCACGGACTTCAACTTCATCAAAGTTCTCGGCAAAGGATCGTTTGGCAAGGTGGGTAAATGGCTTACTTTTTGTTTCTTTCTTCAATGAATTTACAAACCTTCAAAAACCAGGTTTTACTGGCCGAGCGCAAAGGCAGCGAGGAGTTGTATGCCATTAAGATACTCAAAAAGGATGTGATCATTCAGGACGATGATGTGGAGTGCACCATGATCGAGAAACGTGTCCTGGCGCTGGGTGAAAAGCCGCCTTTCCTAGTCCAATTGCACTCCTGCTTTCAGACAATGGTAAGTTAAGCATCGAATTTTTACAAAAAGCAGATGTTAAAGGCTTTTTTTGCAGGACCGCTTATTTTTTGTGATGGAGTATGTAAATGGAGGCGATTTGATGTTCCAGATCCAGCAGTTCGGAAAGTTTAAGGAACCAGTGGCTGTGTAAGTGTTATTAAAGGTGTTTACTAGATCTATTTACCAAAGTAATTTATCCTATGACGATCATTAGGTTTTATGCTGCTGAAATCGCCGCAGGACTCTTTTTCTTGCATACCAAGGGTATTTTGTACCGGGATCTCAAGCTGGATAATGTCCTCTTGGACGCAGACGGCCATGTTAAGATTGCGGACTTTGGCATGTGCAAGGAGAACATAGTTGGTGACAAGACCACGAAGACCTTCTGCGGTACCCCCGATTATATAGCTCCAGAGGTGGGCTCACCAATATTTTATAATTAAATAAGAAGTCATCACTTGTTGCTTCTGCAGATAATTCTATATCAACCCTATGGCAAATCTGTCGACTGGTGGGCCTACGGAGTCCTGCTCTACGAAATGTTAGTGGGTCAGCCACCCTTCGATGGCGAGGATGAGGAGGAGTTGTTTGCCGCCATTACCGATCACAATGTGTCATATCCAAAAAGCCTGAGCAAGGAGGCCAAAGAGGCCTGCAAGGGCGTAAGTTATTATCCACTTTTAGAGTTGATTTACTTATAATTAAAAACTGTGTTTAAACGCTTCTCAGTTCCTAACCAAACAACCGAATAAGCGTTTGGGTTGTGGTTCCTCTGGCGAAGAGGATGTGCGTCTACATCCGTTTTTCAGACGCATCGATTGGGAGAAAATTGAAAACCGAGAAGTGCAGCCACCGTTCAAGCCGAAGATTGTAAGCAGAGAAAACCCCACCTAAAGTCCTATAAATATTAATGAGCACCTTTTTTCCCAGAAACACCGAAAGGATGTGTCCAACTTTGACAAGCAGTTCACATCAGAGAAAACAGACTTGACGCCCACGGACAAGGTGTTCATGATGAACCTGGATCAATCGGAATTCGTTGGCTTCTCCTACATGAATCCCGAGTACATCTTAAGCCCATAGATCCGATCTGATCCGATCTAGTTTTCATGCTGCGAGTTGTGTCCCTTTAGTCTATTTTGATATTGATTACTGAAAAGACATCTTGTTAATATCTGTTAAGTTTTCTGTTTGTTTTCCACATTTGTGTGTATCTATATTTATTGAATTGTTAAGTTTTGAGTTAATTTTAAGTGCTAGAAACTGTGAAACAGAGCTTTAGTTGTGGAATATTCGAATACTGTTCAAGAGAACGTCCTCACCTCAAGCCAAAAAGGAAAGCAATAAAAATCAACATTTCAAATACTTGGATAGCCTATTACTGTGCGAGAAGATTTGTTCCTTTCTGTCCGATTTCAAACAAGCTTCTTGAAAATATGTTTAGCCAGCTTTAGACATTTGCATTTTCCATTTGAAAGTTAAATTTTTAGCCAACATCTGCGTGTCTTTTGTAGCCAACTAATCAATTTTAATAGTTAAAGCCAAGGGAACTTACACGTATTTCTCTCGATAGAACAAGGATGAGGAAGTTTTGGACCAGGTTCAAACGTCATTCGATTGTAGTGCTAGCCCCGGCATTATAATCAAATCGAAAACACGTTTAGGTGAATTCGCCAAAGAGGGAGAAATCAAAGAGAATAACCAGCGTTCCCATATTATTCAATACTTAAGCCGAAATATCATAGAACAAGTGTTTTTTTAATTCCATCAATGTATCAATGTGAGTGTAAACTAATTTTAAATTTAATGAGTGTAACTGATTTAGTTAAAAGCATTGCAAACACGTATATATAGCACGTCTATATATATGGCTGGCATAGAGTCTCAATGTACCATAACTAACAAATTGCATAGCAATAAGTTAAGCTTAGACGATACTTAACACTAAAGCTGTAAACTAAAACTGTAAAACTGTAAAACTAAAACTGTAAAACTGTAAAACTGTTTGCTCCTAACCGAGGAATGACTATGTTAGATTGTTCTTGAGTTGGAAACTTTAGTACCTTCACAGGAATCTAGCTGCTAACAACTACTGTTTAACTATGGGAAAAGACAATCTACTATAAGCGTGTAAAACTATAGTCATCGTATATAGCCTAGACCGATTTCCAAATTAGCGCCAGCCGAGCTAAGCTGTTGTGCCTCTCGTAGCTATCTTTCTCTCATAGAAGAAACCTTAACAGAATTCATGCCAAAAGAGGCTATACTTGTTTATAGGAAAATTAAGTAATTATATATAATATGTATGTCTCTCGAAGGGGAGTTTGTAGCCAAGCTAATTGCGTAAGGCACAGCAGAGTAATTAAAATGAGAACTAACAACTAAACAAGAATCGGTAAAGCTTAAAGTAGTTTGAACTAGCGAATTCGATACATAATTAAAATAATAATTATTAACTTAAATACATAAAAGTGTGTAACTCCGAACTCGAAGCATTTAAAACGTTTAATTTAACTCTCCAATTTGAAATCAAAACGTAAGCTAAGTCAACAAAGTAGATCAAAAGAAATACTCGATCCCCATGAAGGTGGATGAGTACGATTCACAACCACGATGAGTAGCACTAAACGTTCAACCCGAGGGAAAACCAATTTTGCTCGTATTTTTAAACATAAATTTAATGCATAATTAACATATATCTATAGATGTATATGTGTGTCTGAATTACTTTAATGACTTTTACGGAAAATAAATGAAGAAACCGAAAACTCTTTTCAAGTCTGTTCAAATATTGAAAATATAACAATTTGAAGAAAATTAATTTTTATTATCGAATAATATACATATGGAAACGCATATTGGTAGGGCTTAAACTGCATACAGTTTTGTTTAAAGTCGACATTTTTACAACAAATATTTATGTAATTTTGATGATTTTCGAGGTCATTTTTTAAACCGAAGTCTCATACGTATGTATTTTAATTGCATATTAACTTAGTACAAAACAAATAGATATATACACATATACATTTAAATATTTATATCTATAAAATATCGATGTGAATTGCTTAACAGATATAAAACCATACGATATATCGCGAGAAAATGCGAAAACTTCCAAACACAACTCTCGAAAATAAAAACAAAACCAAACTAAACTAAACTAAAGATAACTATTTTTACGTCTGAATAATTCACCCTCTCCACTTCTGAACAGTCAGTCGAAGCTATATGCCTGTGCATATGCATCCACTATATACACTTACGAGTACACACAGACCCGGGCCCCAAATGAATGTAATCTATAATTTATTGAGCCAAGCCAAACAAAGAGAAAAACTTAAATAAATCAAACAATCGGCTCTGGGCACATCACACACACAATACGAGTACCCAAAGTAAATAAAAATACTACTAAATACATCTGAGTCTCTGAAATGAAGAATAGTTATCCATGGAGTTCAAGATGATAGGGTGATTTTCTGGCTTTAACACGAGAATCCATCATGGGGTTAAGAAACATTTTTACGGGAGGAGGTTCTACAATCGATACCGCTGATCATAAATTACGGAGCCCAGCCAAGTATGCAACCAATCCAAAAAAAAGGACGCAAGGATGACGGGCCATATACGTATATAGTGCCTATATAGGCGATAGATAAAGGGAGAGGCGATCGACTGAGATAGAGGTCGATGTTGAGGTGGGTTTGCGTGGCGGCGTTATCATTGATTGCGTACAAATTAACATTTATGCGTCCGTTAGCGTTAGATAATCTTATCGTGAATTTGCAACAATTAGATAGACGTGTCCAGCGGTCGCTGCCAGATCCTCCTCTTCACCCAGTCAGCCAGTCAGTCAGTCAGTGAACAACATGGCCAATCATCGATTCGTTCCATCTGTCATCTACGCCGTGAATTTCACCACGCCAGGCTCCGGCTGGCCATTGGGCCAGGTGCACGAGATGGAGCACAGCGACGAGTGCATCTTCCAGAGGAGAACGCCCTCGCTGGCGATTTTCGTGCTCTACGGACTGGCCGTTCCCACCCTGGCGGCCTTTGGCCTCTGCACGAACTTCATCAACGCCGTTGTCTTCATGCGACCCAAGATGACCCCGTCGGCCTTCAGTTACCTGGCCGCCCTCTCCTGGATGGACTGCATCTCCTGCCTGCTCATCACATTGACCGCCCTGTCCAGGAGTTATTTCTACAACAGTCCCGCCTGGATTTCCTACGACTACCAGTGGCAAACCCCGTTCTTTGGCATCAGCACGGGAGCAGCCAATCTCATCCTGGCCTGCCTGAGCGTGGACCGGTTCACCTTCCTTTCCAGTTTCAAGAGGACCAACGGTGCTCCCAGATTTTGCCGCCGCAAGGTGGCTCGCTGCATGATCGCGGTGGCAATAGGCACCTCCGTCGTGGTAAATATGCCGTACTTCTTCGTCTTCTATGTCAGCTCCACGGGAACGTGTCACGTCACCGCTTTCTACTACTCAACGTAAGTGTAAAGTAGGATTCCATAAGGAGATAGCTTTAAGTTTCTCTTCGAACACAGTTTTTATAAAGTGCAAAACTGGTTCACCTTTGCCCTGTTGGCTCTTTTTGCCCGCCATCTTCCTGCTCATTGGCAACACGGCCATCATATTAGCCTTTCGGAAATGGACAAAGCAGAGCCGACGGTGTCAGGCCACCGAAACCACTGCCAATAGCCGCACCACCGCCAAGAGATATCAGGTATTGTAATAATTATAAGAGTGGTATCGTCTGGTCGAAAACGACAAATAAATAATATCCATACGCATTATGTGCGTCGTTTACAACTCAATTCGCAATTTTAATGCCATTGACCCATAAAAAGAAAAATAAATTGTTATGATCAATGGAATTTTTGCAGCACCAAATGAAGCTAACCATCAGCATAGTGATTGTGATTACATTGTACTTGGTTGGCGAACTGCCTGCGCACATGACTTCAAGAAAGAGCTCCCTAAACCTTATTTTCGGAGGGGATACCAACAAGGTTGATGAGTCCTTCATGGAGGAGCTGGAGGTGATCTGCATTACGCTAAATGCCTTACAATTATCCCTGAATATAGTAGTCTATGCCGTGATCAACCCGTCGTTCATGCCGGAGTTCTTCCTGTGCCTGAAGGGAACTTCTGATGTGTGCTTTGGATTGTGTTGTTTCCGAGCTGTGCGAAGGCTTTGGCGACGCTGCCAGACCCAAAGAAAACAAAAGGCTACGGCGGAGGAGCAGGTGGTCAGTAGCGTGACTTTACCGCAACTCCCACCGGATGAGCCTATGCCGTGTGGCTGCGAGAGCTGGGCCAGTGACTCCGGCTGCAAGATCAACGCCCACTGCAAAACGGCAGTGGGCACATTTACCATGAAGGATTCCGATCACGACGAGGTGGTGCATTGCTGCCATGAGCCAGAGATTTTCACCACCAGATCCAGTGCCTGCCTGCACTCAAAAGACTCTGCTCCCGACGAGGAATCTATATTTAGTTCCAGCTTTATTATAATTACCTAGGTACACTTATTCACAACACTTGACTAGACTTAAGACTAATAAATTATATGCGCATAGTGCTGTAGCGGTTAAACAGACGATTCCATATCTTATTTGTGAATCCCCGAGCAGCCTCCTCGTTGTCATCGAAAACCTTGTAGTACGGATGCCCAGGTTGAACTTTGTGTACCACTACGTGCATCATTCCACTTCCTTTCTTCGCATCGCCGTGCAGTTTTCGTACCATAACGTGCCTTATAGTAACATTCTTTTGTACATCAGTAGCATTGCTTGTAGCATTGAGCTCAGCTTGGACTTGAGTGAGGAAAAGAAACACCAACAAGAAGCAGAGAAGGTATTTGAAAGACATCTTAAGAGCGAAATGGGTCGAAAGGAGTCTAAATATAAACTGAACTCCGCAGAGAAGTTGATCTGAAGACGACCCAGCTCTTTCAGCTAAGTAAATAGTTTGAAGTTTGGAGCCACCACCTGAGGAAACAAACTAAAACCGGTTCCATTTTGTAAATGTAAAATGCTTCATAGAATGAAACATGTTTATTGCCACCGAATCACTTGGTAAACAAGTAAATGGCCACAATGAGACCATACAGACCCAAGACCTCTGCGAATATCAGAATAAGGATGACAGCTACAAATATTTTTGGCTGCTGGGCAGATCCCCGGACTCCAGCCTCCCCCACAACGCCAATAGCAATTCCAGCCGCCATCCCAGAAACACCCACAGCCAGTCCAGCACTAAGATTCAGGAATCCCTTGTAGGCGCTATGGCGATTGACGATTGAGCCCGCCAGCAGAACCGCAATCACCAACCCGTAAATGGCTATAATGCCAGCCATGACCACCGGAACGATCGCCTTCATGATCAGCTGCGGATGCTTGATCGACATCGATGAGATTCCAACGGAGGCCTTAGCGGTTCCATAGGCAGCTCCCAACGTCGAGAAGACAATGGCCGACACGGCGCCCATCACGCAGAAGAAGACGGCGTATTCCGGTTGGTCCAAAGAGGGCTCCATCTTTCAATGCAGTGATTTATATTTAAAAGTCGAATACTGTTGAAGAATTCTGTGAAGGTTTTTTGATTATTCCACTTTTATAAAATAAGTGTAAAGACGTTAAATTCTCAGTGATTGTAAAACATATAATTTCCACATATGTACACGATTTAAAAAAAGAAATTCAAGTTTGACGCTTAATATTCTTAATCCACCCATTGATCACTTTATATCTTTCTTAGTCATTTTTAGCTTAAATAAATTTTTAAATATTCAAGGTTTAACGAAGAAAACAAGACGATAAGTGTAACCACTTGATTGGCTTCATTAGATATGTACAGTTATGCTAAACTTAGTCTAGTAACCTATTTCAGCTTGTATAATACACACGAAAATATTTAGGGCAAAGCTTACTTGCCCTGTAGTTTAGATAGAAAGTCCATGAGGAACTGGTGTCTTCCGCGCAGTTCGCCTACGCTGCGATGCTTAAGCTTGGCGCAAATTCGCCTTATAAGCTGCTCTCTATCGCGAGCCCCCATTTTCATTTCGATTAGAATAACTTTGTCCTCTTCGCGAGTCCAGGGAGCTGAGTGGGAACTGCCAGACTCAGATTGAGACGCGCTGACAGTTGATGTAGATGCGGAAGCTGGCTGATCTTCGGTGGGAGAGCAATTGGCTAGCGTGGCCACAACATCCAGCTTGCAGTCCTCGTCACTGTCGAATTGCGTGGTAATCACGTGCTGTGGTGTATTGCCCGCACTGACATGCAGGGGTTCCAGCTCCTCCTCCGAATGGTCCAGATCCATTTTAAGGGGCGTGAAAACTTGAATGTTCTCTTCACCCTCGTCCTGGCTTTCAACCTCAATTTTGGTAACGGGTGCCAGACTGCCGCTAATTGGTGGCGTAGGTGCATGCTGTTTGGCCTGCGCTATAATCCGTATGCCCGCCTTTGTGTCCGCCGCATCCCGAACACTTTCCTGATCGATCAGCGTTCGCAATCGTTTGGCGCACTCTATGGCTGGCGAGGAGGTAGACGGTGACTCATGGATTACCACCATAGGTTGGTTATTGGCCCGTTGCCTCCCTGATTGATTTAGAGGAGATCGAATCTTTTTGGTGGGTGATTTTCTTTTGTCTACATGAGGAGAGCTATGGTTCGTCGCCGATAAAGGACTCATTCCCGAGTTGTTTAACGTGGACTGCCTGCGGGGCGATATTTCACCAAAGTTAATGGCAGTTTTCTTAGCATGCGGATGATGGTGGCCGTGAGAGTGGCCCACATTAGGCGTACTGGTGGTTGCATTACCAAAGCTGGAGTTTGAATATAAACTGGCATTCAATCGAATTGCATGCGCTCTTAAACCCGCCTCGTCGCACATTTCGATGGATGAGCAACTGTTCTGCTCATCGCCCGTTGTATCTATCACCAAAGCGCGACTGGCATCATCCTCCTCACTCCGATCTGCAGCATCGTCGCTATCCGCGTTGGCAGCCAAACTAAGAAGTTTCTCTCCCTGAGCACGGATACCATGAGCACAAGTCAGGGATTCACTGGAGACCGTTGGCACGTCATGAGACTGCTCATTGTAAATACTAGCAGCCATAAAGGAAAGCTTGGCAGGTAGCAGGATCTTAGCCCCATAGAATATTCGACCATTAATATATTTCAAGTGGCAGCCAGGTTTACTTGGAGTAGGTACATCCAAAAACTCGTGAACCGTCTCCGTAAATTCTCCCGTAGTGTTGTTTTGGACATCATGCATATTAATAGTCTCCACAGGAGACAGGATTCTACAAAATAATTAAATTATATTTAAAAGTTAATGATTTATATTGTTTATTTCCTTACCTTTTAGGGGGCTTTCCCTGAGGAAATTGTTGCACAAACCAGTCGACCAAAAACTGATTGCCCTTGAGCAAGGGCATTATCTTGTTTTCAACTTTTTTCATGCTGACATTGGGCAATTCGGCCAACTCGCTGAGACAGGCATATATTTTTCTGATCTGAGCAGGTTGCTTGCTAAAGTAAATGTTGAGTTTGTTGATGAAGTTGGTGGCATTGCTAATCATAAAGTGTTCAAAGAATTTCCCTATCTCGGCGGCCTCAGCAGGTAGCAAAAAGTTAAGGAATACTTCTGCCAACTCCGGATGATCGGGTAGTAAGATTTGTTCCACTTTCTGTGGGATAAACCAAATATTTAAGAACGCATTTACGACAGCTTGATAAAGACCCTTACCAGATAAAGAGATGAGACTTTCTCTTGCCTGGGATCAAAGTTCTGCAGCAGACTATTAAATTTTCTGCAGTCCTCTATGCGATCAGCATTCAGCAGGGCCTCCTCTACTTTGTCGTAGAAATTTAGCGCGAAAACTATACGATTGTTTTAATAAGTATCTATTCACTGGATGGGAAACAAAGTATAAACTTACTGGCATCTTTGCGATTGCTCTCCTCTGCAGAGTCCGGCTTGAGCATATGACGCAGCAACTCCTCCTGGCGGTTGGCTCTTTTGAGCTTAGCTGCCTCATCGTCACTTCTGGATCTTTTTGGCTGAGTTGCCGTTGCCGGTTTTGGAGTGGTGGTGCTGCAGAACATCATTAAATCGACCAGCAGTTGGGTGTACAGTTCCAGGGCCACGAAACGAGTGTGAACGAGCTGTACCAACTCGCAGGCTTTATATTTTTCCGTGCGTCGACGCAGGTAGGATCCGTATTCAGTGATTAGCGAATGGCAACGCTTGCTCAATTTATGGCGCAAACGTTCGCGCAATTTGTGGTAGCGACACCGGCCTGGCGTTGATCCCTTTCGCGATTTATTGCAGGATTGAACCTTTGGCTTAAAGATTTGGTAGCGAGCCCTCTTGGCGTTTTTGCCCACAACGGAGGCGTTACTTTCTTGCTCAGGCAACAGCTCCTGCTGTACAACCTCGCAGGAGTCTTCCAATTCGCAGATCTGCAGAGTATTTGTAAACTCGTCTACTTTGTAGTTTATGGCGGGCGGAGCATCTTTGGCCAGTGGCGGAGGAGCAGGCGGTAGAGCGAGAATATCACTGCACTGGGAACTGGTAACCAAGCTGCGATTGATGTTCAGCACATTGTCCGCCAAACTACCACCGGACACAAAAGGCACTGATACCCCAGACACTCCGGGTAAGTTTCCCTTGTTCGCATGGCCGCCAAAAACATAATTTACATTGATAGTGAGCAGGGAGGGCTGTTCCGCTGGGCGTGGCTTCCTCTGCGCTGGATTCTGCCTTGATTTACAATCCCTAAGCTGCTCCGAACCAGCGGCACTGCCATCGGGTACTGCAGCCTGGCCAAAACTCTCCGGCAGCAGCAAATCCTCGCCGACCGCCTCTCGCACAAACTCTAAATACGAGGCACTGGCTTGTGAGGACGCTCTCAACGCTTTAAAATTGCGTCGGGTGCGCTTCTGTTCCCAGGTTTTCTGCAAAAAGTCGCAATTAAAAATTTCCGCAATTTATAAACACCCAGCGATGGCAAAAGCACTTAACATAACTATCGATAACACGAATAGGGGCAACCTAACCAGCGATTACCACTGATCGGATAACTATGTTCCAACGGCTAATAAAAATGGCAAATTTAAAAAAACAGTACCAAATAAAATGGTACCTAGTCAGGTACAATTCGACGTTGAGCAATCGAAGTAGTTCCCAGCACTGACGATAACTTGCTATCTGCCTATCGAACTTTTGACTGCACTAAAAGTAAGAGCGACAACATATTTTTTGGTTTTTAAACAAAATAACACCAAAAATATTTCACAAAAAAAACATTTTTATAACTATCCTATCTATTTCCAACAGAGCCCAGGAATTACACTTTTTACATATTCCGGATACCCGTTAAAAAAGGAGGAAATCAAAACTGACCACGTCTACACATTCCAATATGAGCAAAGTAACCTTTAAAATCACGCTAACTTCGGACCCCAAGCTGCCATTCAAGGTGCTCAGTGTTCCGGAGGGAACTCCCTTCACAGCCGTGCTGAAATTTGCTTCCGAAGAGTTCAAAGTTCCGCCGGAGACAAGTGCTATTATCACGGACGATGGCATTGGCATAAGTCCTCAGCAAACCGCAGGAAATGTGTTCCTGAAGCACGGATCTGAGCTGCGTCTCATACCTAGAGATCGGGTGGGCCACCAAATAAGCTAGTTTACCTAATCCCTGCGTATTGTCCCTATGAGATTTCCCCTTTTTGAATGCTTATTAAAATTTAAATTACTTAATCGGTAGTAATTAATCGAATACCTACCTCAATGTAGTATTGCCACCCACTGGGCAGCTCCTTGTGACGTTCTCGGGGAGTTCTAACAAGTCCACCTTCGAAACCCCAAAGGATGTGGTTGGCTGGAGGCGCTCGCTCGCGTTCAAGAAAATACTTTACTGGATTGTACTGTTTCGATTCACGAAGCTCGGTAACCTTCATGAAAATTCGGCGGCCTGTCTTGCCATAAATCGTATCTTTAGCCATTCGCTTGCAGGCAACACGGATGGGATCTGCACCCTTCCGCAAAGGTCTATTAGCTTTTTTAATGGCCTCCATGTGCTTCTCCAGACCGATGGCAATCAGCTGATACTCGGAGGGCGCATAGGCAGTTACTTGCGCGAATTTTGGCTGAAAAGCCATGCGGGGAAGGTACTGAGGATACATAAACACTCGACTATCCAGCATGAGATCCATAATACGAGGAGCTAGCCTAGGAACCTGACGTGTTGTTCCATCACTGATATAACGAAAGCTCATGAATAAGACTGTATTATCAATAGTAATCCTGCACTTACGTCAAATCGGTTTCCTTGTTGATAAACTCCATCATCTTCTCGTTCTCCTCCTTAAATTCATCACTACACAGATCGTGCTCCCACTTCCTTACCAGCTGCACAGCTTCCTTTAGGTTCCAGCAATTAAAGCTGGCATTTTTGTTTGCCTTGGTGTGGAGTTCCTCCAGCATTTCCTTGGGCTGTTTGGCCATGGGATAAAAAGTGGGGTGGGAATAGGTTTGTAGAAAGCTTTGAGTCAGCATCTGGGTGTGGATACGAAGCTGCTGCTGAAGCATGTCATGCTGGGATTTGGTGAATCCCCTGCTTCTGGCGAGATTATTTATGTTTGGTGGCTGCACATTACGCAGGTTCTCAAAATGATCATCATATTCCGAATAAACATGTCTCTTTACCGATATGTATTCACTGGTAAAATTTGTATCATACGGTTTGTCGTAGCGATCTTCAAGGTTTTTCGTTAAAATGGGAGGTTGAATTGGCTCCAAGTTGGAGTAATCCTGGGTCGATTCTTCTGCCAATGGAGGACTTATAAAAGTGGAGTCATTGGCTACAACTTTGGCCAGTTGGAAGCAATTGGGTTGTCCCGGTATTGGTACGGCTATAAGTTCTGGAGGAGCACCTAAAGCATCTGACGGTATGTTAACAACCTTGCAAGGCGATGATCCAAGATTTTCACCCTGCACCACAGCCACGGGAACGGGAATGACCATGCTTAAATTGTTTTCTTGACATGGTGGGAGAATTGTACTTGGTTGGTAGGCTGGCTCAGGCTGATGTCCATTAAGTACTGTTTGACCGTCAAAATCAATATTCCGGGTAACCTGATCAACAGGAGCCATTGAAACGTTGGCACTTTCTATGAATTTCTGTGGGGTTTCCAATTCAATTGATTCCAGAGAAACTCCCTCTTGCAGCAGCCCAGCAAATAGTTCAGATACGAGGTCAGTCAACTCCTTTTTGGATATGTTTACATCGCGTAGCTCCTCTGCATTTTCATACTCTGATTCCAAGTGATCAGCGGCCTCATACTCCGGATCGTTAATGGGATCATCATCATCGCCCAGAACAGTGTTGTCTGCATGAAGCAAGAGTTAAAAGAACCACTTTAAAATCTGTAAAAAGGGTCACTCACTCAGAGGCTTTGTGAAGTCGTTAAGGAACTGCATCCAATCCGCATCCGTGGCGGTCATTTCGTTCTCTACTACATCACTGGGCTCCACATCAGGCGGAACAAATTCCGACTGCAAGTCCTCGATTGTGGTCTGCTGTAGACAGAATTTGGAGCGCGTTCTGGTAGCTATACGCAGATCCTCCTTGTCGAGATTCTTATCAAACGGCACCTTAAAGCAACCGTCGTCAGAAAATTTAACGGGGGATTCCTCATTGGCAGTGAGTGGTGTTTGGGGTGTGCAAGGGTTGGAGTCGAAATCCGATGCTGTGGTATTCTGATCATCGTCGGACTACGGTTAAAATAGGGTTTTAGCACAACTCAAGCTTCTTATGTATATGTATCACCTACATGAAAATCTTCCTCCTTAAAGGTGTACTCCTCGTCATCCTCGTCGGAGTGCAAATCCTCCCTTATCAAAGCCTGAATCCCATCATTGTCGGTGGGAGTTTCGTTAAGCTGGGGCAAGGAAATGCCAGGAGTGCAGTTCAGCTCACGTGCTTTGGCACGGGTGAGTTTCGGTACGGACGGAGTGTCAGTGATAATGATAGCACCTCGTTTCTGCTGCTCCGCTGACTCCAGCTTCTCCCGCGCCAGCTCATCCTCTGCTTTCAAGGTGACCAATGCCAATACATGATCGTTGCGCACCACCTTTCTCACCACCTTTTGCATGTCCTCGGTGCTAATTGAGTTCTCCTTGGCCACCTTTCGCAGCCGGCGATCGATCTCCTTGGCATCCTCATCCAACTGTGAATCCAGGCTCTGGCGGTCTACCCGGCGCCGCTTACGTGGTCTTCGTGGAGTCGAGCTATTGCTCCGTGTAGACTCCGTCTTTTTGGCACTGTTTGGCATCTCGGAGCTTCATTTATAGATTAAATTCCGATGTTACTTCACGAAAGCGCAGAACAAAAACGCTCACAATGTTTACACGAAATGCCGCCACTCAGTTTTAATGTCAGTGGTGGTACCGTGGCCGATAGCATCAATAACATCGAATATTATATGTCTTAATAAATAGTTCTTTAATAACTATTAAACATTTAAAAAAGTTGGTTTATTTAAAAAATATTTAATTTATATTCTAAAAAATAGACTTTAAGCAATAATTTTTTATCTAACAATGTATCGATGTTTTGTGCAACATATATTTATTCACTCTGGTCACACCATGCTCTGCTTTTCCGGGCTCCTGCCCAAAAATAATATAAAATAATAGCCGCTTATCAAAGCAAATGCCACCGGAAGAGAAGGTAGCCTGAAAAGCACCCAAGCAGCCAACGCTTCTTTCCGCCAGAGGAGTATCCCGACCAGGAGATCAACACCGTCGAAATAGTCGTAAGGTAAGCCCGCGATTAAACATGAATCACATGCCCGGCGAATGATGAACGACTCCACCCAACGCTCTAGAAACTAGAAAATGACAGAGAAAGTTACGAAGTTGGCGTTGGCCAGTCGCCTTATCGTGCTCTTGGTCCAAATGGTGTCTAATGGAGCCCTGCCGGAGCACAGACCAGATGTATTCCGGATGCCGGTGTCAGGCGAGCAGAAGCAATGTTGCGAGTGGCTGGACAAGCTGGTCAAGCGCTGCTTAGGAGGACTGAGGCACTGGGACGGAGAGTACTTTCTGCACATAGCTGGAAATCTTTACTCATACGAGAACACCCTGGCCTTCTACCCACTTTATCCGGTTGTGGTACGTCACATTGCACAGGCACTGGAGTTTGTCGGGGTGCCTTTGTCCCAGGAATCCATCCTGCTAGTCGTAGCAGTGGCAGTGAACCTCTGGTTGTTTTGCGAGTCGGCTAATCTTCTTTTCCAGCTAACCCACCTGATATTTAACGACCTTAACAAAAGCTGGAATGCTGCTCTGATCTACTGTTTTAATCCGGCCAGCATTTTCTTTACGGCCGCCTACTCAGAGTCCTTCTTCGCCTTCGCCAGCTTCCATTTGATGCTGGAGTGCCTGAAACCAACCGACAACTTTCGGTTCATTCGTTTAGGAGCAGCTTTAGCCGCCTGTGTGGTATGCCGTTCAAACGGGTTGATCACCGTAGGATTTCCGGTGTACTTCTTCGCCCGCCAACTGCTGGTCAAGGGCAAGGAACCAACATCCTTCTGGCAGCTGACGCAGATGGCCCTAACCATTCTGGGAGCCGTAGGGATTCTGCACACCTACTATTTCTACATCTATCGGCTGTACTGCTTACCGTCCATGACGGTAAACCACCCGCATCACGTTGTGAACTACGCAGAGGAAAGGAAGTACCTTATATCAGGACAGGGATCGGAGGGATCTCCATGGTGCCAGTACACGCTGCCGTTCCCGTACACCTACGTGCAGTCACACTACTGGGATGTAGGATTTCTGCGGTACTACAAGTGGAAACAGCTGCCTAACTTTCTGCTGGCCCTGCCCATGCTTAGCTTCATGCACTGGCACTGCTACGATTACCTACGCCAGTTCATTAAAGATGTCTGGGCGAAGGTTACGCCGTCCGGCTACAGGGAACTAGTCAAGGAGCATGTCACATTCCCCTTCGTTCTGCACGCTGCGTTTCTCACCCTTGTTTGCACTGTATTTGTGCACATTCAGGTGTCCACGCGACTCCTGGCGTCGGCCACTCCCGTTTTCTACTGGTTTGCAGCCGATCACATGCCCAAAACGCTTGCAAAGCTGAAACTGCGTTCCAAGGCGGGAGCTCTCTTTATATGGTGCACCACTTACAGTTTGGTGGGAACCGTGCTGTTTACCAACAATTACCCATGGACGTGAGCTACTTAAGGAATGTTTACGCTTAGGAGTAGTTGGTTGCCAAAGAGACTGTTCATCCGCAGAGATTGCTTTTTAGTGTGTAAATAATCGTCCAGGCTCTCCAAATTGAAGTGATAGTGTTGAGGCGCTCAAAAGTATTGATTTCCTGTAAAAGTTTCCCATTATCTATAAAAACCTTGATCTTTTAAAACATGCTTAATAAAAATTGTTGACAATTTTGCCGAGAAAGTTAATATAGATAATTAATAAATACTACTTGAAAAAACGTTCAACTTATCTAACGCTTATGTACATTTCAAATAAAATGTGTAGCGGTTTTTTTTAAACAATTGATTAGTATTTTCTTAGTATATTTACATGATCCACTTATTTTTTTCTGGTCTTTACGGTCACACTGACAATCAGCTGTTTTGGGTCGCAGATCCAAACAATAAAGAAAAAAATTTACCAGAAAATTGTTTATAGTCCGACATCCTAGAGGACACCCGTGATTGCCATGGATGGCCATCTGCGACTGCACAAGGTGGGCGACTACGCCGCGCCGAGTCTCCAGGAGAAGACCAGCAAAGTGCTCGGGAACATGGAACAGCTGTCAGGAGTGATGATAATTATCATCATCAGCGGAGGAGTTCTTACTTGTCTGATGTTGTTTATCTTCGCAAAGCGCCAAATAATGCGCTTTCAGCTGCGAGGACGTCGCGGACCCCACGTTCCGGTAGGCAACGATGCCAAAAAAGCTCTTAGAAAGGAGATTGAGCGGCGGCTGGACTGCATCCAAAAGATAACGCAGGAACCGAAGCTGTTGTGGAACGACGGCGACAAGTACATTGTTCAGCCCGAGCCGGAGGCACTTCCACCGTACTACTACCGCATGAAAGCAGTGGACGATGTAAAACTATTAGAAACAGAGATTGCGAGAGCGGATGGTAGTTCGCGGCACGCTCCCGAGAGTTTAAGGGCCTTCCTGTTGACCACTTTGTCGGTCACGTTAAACGGTGCCGGCCAGAGGATGATTCACCAGTACTGCGACATGTATGAGCATGCCCGCCACGATCCTAATGAATTCGGAAAGGATGAGTACGAGGCCTATCATCATTTGCTGCTAAAACTGCTGGAGGCGTAAGTTTAGTGTATCTTTTCCAAAGAAAACTTTTTCAACAAGAAATCCTATTTTTGTTTTCGTAGTTCTAAACAGCTTAAAAACTACAATTCCCGCAAGGCTTCGCCCGCTCGAACGCCTCGGAAACAGACAAAAATGCATTCCTTGCTGGATCCTGCTCGTCTGCGACCGCCAACTACTTTGGAAAATGTTCAGCCAAGCAGTGAACTCACGACTGGTCAGCATGCAAAGGTTAACTTAACGCTTGGTCTCCAGGGCGGCAATGCTGCAGGTGGCGATGGGGACGCCGAGCTTGCCACCAATCCTCTTCACTTGCAGGCGCCATCCGACCGTGATCTAATCATACGGAATAGAATTAAGACGCCCACGCTAGACGACATTATCGTTGAGGCCGATCATCATCAGAACAGTGATGCAGGGACCATGGAGGACAACGAGATTAAGAGCATTTCGTCGACACAATTTCAGCGGAACTCCAGCAATGTCTAAGCTTTCAAGGAACCTCCGCTAATTTGGATAAAGTGTTCTCAGAAAAAAACCAGAAGTTGTACCATTTAATGCTTATTGGTCTTTGTTGCGTTTTCTTGGCAGTCCAAAAATTAATTTTAAGCAGCTTTTAGAAATTAAGAAGAATTAAAGAAATTTAAGTTTAACTCCTGTAGTTTCAAGCAAAAATCTTGCGCTTAATAAACATGATATAAGGTAATCAAAACTTCAATAATACGGGTCACCTTAAGTTTTCTTTTAATTTTGAAGAAAGTCATCAAATAATTAACACTTTACCTACAAGGAAACTTTTTGTTCTAGCAAGAATCGTGCTATGTTTTACAAGGATCATTTTTATTACAAGGATCATTCTTATTACAAGGATCATCCTTTTTTACAAGGATCATCCTTTTTACAGGGATCATCCTTTTTACAAGGAACATCCTTTTTACAAGGATCATCCTTTTTACAAGGATCATCCTTTTTACAAGGATCATCCTTTTTACAAGGATCATCCTTTTTACAAGGATCATCCTTTTTACAAGGATCATCCTTTTTACAAGAATCATCCTCCTTCTCCATCTCGGCACATTGATCGGCTAACTGGGAGTAGAGAACCAAGTCCAGGAGTCGGCAGGAGTAGCCTGTCTCATTATCGTACCAACTGATCAGCTTCACAAAGTTGTCATTCAAGGCAATACACGCCTTGGCATCGAAGACGGAGGCAAAGCGTGAGCCGTTAAAGTCAGTGGATACCACCTCCTCCTCCACGTAACCCAGAATGCCCTTCATTTCGCCTTCGGCCGCCGATTTGATGACCTTCTTGATGTCCTCCATTTTGGCGGGTTTCTTGAGACGGCAAGTCAGGTCCACCACCGAGACATTGGGCACCGGCACTCGGAAAGCCATGCCCGTGAGCTTTCCGTTGAGTTCCGGGATAACTTTACCCACTGCCTTGGCAGCTCCCGTGGCAGCCGGGATGATGTTGGTCATGCCACTGCGCCCATCTCGCCATAGTTTGCTGCTGGGTCCGTCGATGATCTTCTGGGTGGCAGTGGCCGCATGCACGGTGGTCATCAGGCCCTCGGTTATTTCGAAGTTATCGTGGACGACCTTGGCCATCGGCGCCAGACAGTTTGTGGTGCAAGAGGCATTCGAAATTATAGTCATTTCGGGTTTATATTTATCCAAATTCACTCCACAGACAAACATCGGAGCATCGGCCGACGGAGCGGAGATGACTACTTTCTTGGCACCACTATCCAGGTGCGCTTGGCAGGCTTTCAGGGTGGTAAATCGACCGGAGCACTCCACCACGGTGTGCACGCCGAGGTCACCCCACTTCACGTTCTTGAGATCTGGCTCCTTCAGCAGTTGGATCTTCTTGTCATTCACGACCAGCGAGTTTCCCTCTATGGATATCTTCTGATTGAACTGGCCGTGGGTGGAGTCGTAGCGCAGCATGTAGGCCAGGTACTTGGGATCCAGCGAGGGGTCGTTGATGGCCAGTATCTGGACATCCTTGAGGACGAGAGCCTGGCGGGCAAACATCCTTCCGATGCGCCCAAACCCATTGATTCCGATGGTGGACATCTTGGCACTAAGTAAATTTTGACTACAAATTTACCCGACTCTTTGGATTAAAATAAAATGATTTCCGGATCTTAGCCGCCTCAGATCGGAGCTGGGTCTTGTGGCCCCCTGACGGTAGGCATACATACATAATTACGCAGCTGGGTATAAATCAATCGAACTCGGCCACCTGCCAAAGCTTCTCACGAAACAAAATTACAATAACCTTCGGGAACGCCCAGTCCAAATTGTCTGGAGGTTTAAGAAAGTGGGAGTGGCCTCCAAATTGCTGCTCACACACATTCACGGGCATAGAAAACCCAGCTTCAAGGGTCATTACTCACCTTTGTGTGAAATGCCTCACTCCTTCGGGACCCCACCCTTTCTTACACCTGAAAAAATTAGGATTATAGGCTTTCAAAATTGGAATGAACTTAGAGAGTATAACTCACAACATTCACACTTCAATCAACTTTACTTCAATCAACTGTATCGCTTACTCCACCAAGCTTAATTTGTCTATATATCATTTTTAGGCTCCAAAGAAAAGCAGTAAAGAATCAAATGTATGTCTTTTACGAACACACAAAGTGAACAAGTAACCTTGGGCCTTTTTTCCGTGTGTGGTTCCTTTTTGGGCATACCAGATGACGGCCATCAGCCATAGAAATTTCCATTCCCGGTAGCCATCTGCCCCTTCGGCCCATGACTTGGCTGGAAATATATTGAATTGAAGTTGTTTTTTCGTTCGGCTTTCAGTGGGGACCCCACTCTTCTATCGACCTGGACGCGGAGTGTGGGAAACAAGTCTTCAACTAGCTATGACAACTTAACTTTGTTGAATATTTATGATGCTGAAGCAACAGCAGGACGGCTGGCAACATGTTGCAGGCAACATTTGTACGCCCCCGCAGGAAATTTCCAACTGAGCGCCGGGAGTCTCTCTCTTTGGCAAGGAAAACTGGACTCTCCGGGTCCTGTGGTGAGTTTTCCTATTGGGGCCGCGGCTGATTACGAAATTGTTGCAGTAATCGCAGCAACCGCAGTTGCAAGACCCGGAAAACGCCAGCGCCGAACTGCAAACTCCGCCTCATTGTATCATTTATGTTTGAACTCGGAATCCGTAGGTGCCATAAATTTTAAATGCTCCCCATCAAATCCCATCAAATTTAAGTTTATTCTATGGTCTTTGGTCGAGCAGTTAAGGGCTCTAAGCTGGGGTCCGGAACCCTTGCAACTTTGTTGGGGGGTTAGCTTGTTTACTTTAGTGTCCCTGTTTTCATTCCAGTTTGGTTGCGGGGCGGGTGCTACTTGAAATTTATGCGAAAAACTTTCAAATTTGAAACTTGTCTGCCGAGAGTCGCCGCTGAGAAATGGGTTAAAAGAGCAACAGGAGCAGCACACATTTTAGCATTCAAATCCCATTTAAAAAGCAGCTTAAGCCAAAGTTTGACAAAGTGTTGAAGTATGGAATATATGCAATAAATTTGTAGATAAAACAATGATGATAGGGTAGCGTTATGGCAATTTCTTCTCTCCAAAGTTTTAACTATTTACGAAGGTAAGCTCGAGCTGAGAGTTTAATCCGATTTGGGGTGATCACTGAACTAAGGTTTAACAGCCGCAAGCAATGTTAGAATATATATGTGAGATTCTTGTTTGCAACAACATTCTTAATCTTAATCACAGTTCTCAACAACCATCGAACATTAAGAGAAATGGTAAATGTTTGTTACTTTAGACACGCAGAAAAAATGAGGTTTAGTGAATTTCTCAGACATAAAGCCCATTTAGTGTGGAATATTAGCGCATCTTCTTCCTTTTTTTGTTATCATCAGCGCACTAAATTCACATTTAATATTAAATAGTTAACTTCACTTCGATTACTTTTTTGTTCGTGTACTTTCCCACTGAAAGGACCAATGGTAAATGTCCCTCCAGGGCCTCTTTAACTTGCTGGCCGGACAAAGAGCCCCCACTAAAGTTGGTCCACAAGCCGGATAAACATATTTAAGACCGTGGCCGGCATTAAAGCAGACCAGGCTTAAGCTGGCTGAACAGGAAAACAAATCGTTTGCGAAATGTTGCGGAAGTGCCAATTGTTTTATTATATGTTTTTCAGCTTCGAAGGACAAAGTGCCTCCATAATTTCCACAGCTGTCAATGCGCTGCGGAACAGCTTAGCATCGGGATTTGAGATTCCAGATTCAGAGCTCCTTGGCTCCTTGGCTCCTCACTTCCTAATCGCATTGAGCTTATATATTTTCCATCATTCCTCAGCTGGGTTGCCGGCATACGACTGTATATTCCGACTGTGAATGGGTGCAAAAATGTTGTTTGGCTGCTTAGCGATTATCCGGGGGATCAATATTCAACAGCCAGCTGCAGAAGGACCCGGCAATAGTTCTCAGCAGCCGGGATGTACATCATCTCCAAATTGAATTGTCAGGCACAAGTGCGCTGTGCTGTGCTGCTGCAAATTTTCGGGGAACAAAGAGCTCTTCGGCGAACAAAAGGATAAGGAGACGGGGCCATTCCCAGCCAGCTGGGCTATATGCTCGCATTCAAACTGACAGCTAATTGTGCGCTCAAGTGCCTAAAATGGGCGTGGCTGGGATTTGAATTTCGTTCGCCCCACAACTTGTCCTCGCCAGAACTTGGAATTAAATCAAAGGGCCAATGCGGCAGATGGAAATCGTTTATTTCGTTTTCTTTTCCCCGGCAAACTTGGCATTTTTGGCAGGTCATGAAATTCGTAACCTACTCGAAATCTGGCCAAAAATATCTCTTGCCAAACAAATCGGTTGCAAGTTGCAACACAAATCCAGAACCCAAACATTTTCTGACAGCAAAGTCAACCCATTCAATGGCTTAGATATAATTCAATTTGCATTTTTGCGGATGCGGAATGACATTTTTCCGCTCGTGTGTTTGTGCGGCATTGAAAGTTTTCGTGGAACTTTCATGGCAACTTACTAAATGAGTTTTCAATAAATATACTCGTGCCATTTGAAAGGGAACGATGGGGAAAATATTTTTATCTGATATTACGTTGCACTGGGAAAAGTAATAGTACATGGTTTCTGCTTCATTTTAGGGGCATTGCTCAGTCATTGGGATCTTTTAACTTAACTTCACTAACTGCTCTTAGTTCAGTTCAATAGAGCTTATTTCAATTAGTCGGATTTTGAAATTTTCTTTCAGAAAAGTTGTGGCCTTACACATTCTTACTTCTTTGAAATTCAAACGCAGGAAAAACACGTTGCAGCTGGGGGAAAACCAATTGAATGGATTTCCCTTAAACTCACATGTATATTCAATGGTCAAGACCCTCCCTTTTACCAACTTCAGCCGCATTTAAACCTCTTTGCCCGTTGGTTTTTCTCCACCAACTTTTGTATAAACTCTCAACTTTCAGCTCTCCACGACTGGTGGCTTTTGACTAATTGACCCAACTGACCAAGTGAGGAATTGCCTCAAATTGAAATTCAATGGAATAACAATTAATTGAGTATACGGGTTCAGGTGCAGTAATTACGGTGATATATGCCTGCTCGCCTGCGTTGGCCGCTCCATAAATAAAACAACATTACGTATACGCAAAGGATGCCAGCCACTCGTGTGAGCTTGAGTATGAGCGGCCATATCCTTGCTGAACTGGGAAAGCGAGTCAAATGCCATGAAATTTCATTACCTTCGAGAGCAGCAGCAAATAGCATAAAAGTTAAGCTGCTAGCTAAACCAATTACACTAGAGCCGCGATGTTTCAGCTACCGAGGGAGCAACCTACCAAAAGCAGCAACAACCACTCGGCTAACTACAACAATAATGTCAACAGTAAAACCAGCAACAACAACACCAGCAAATATGTGGTAGTGAAGCCAAGCCGGAAAAGCGGGAAAACCTTTTGGTAGGGGAAGGCGAAGCACAGCAACTGTTGCCCACTAAAACAGCAAGGAACACAGAAACTTTGGCGGCAGTGCTGCCAAAATCCAATTCGAAAGCCACGACTGAAGGAATTTTCTTTCAACTTCCGCCAGACAATAACATTTGGGCATGATATAATTATTTAATTTTTTATTGGTTTTCGAAAAATAATGGTTGCAATTACAAATTATTATTCTTGTTATTTAAATATTTATTGACAAAGCCAAAATTGAATTTGTTCATCCTTGAGGAAGGAGATTTCCGGATAATCAATGACTGACATATTTTCCGGAGGAGTTCGTTTGGCAGCACAGCCCGGAAAAAGTGTGAGCTACCAGCACTGTTTGGCGGGGACATTAAAGAGATTTATTTATTTCTGGCAACATCGTGTTGTGAGCGAGTATCTGAAGCGAATAAACGAAACGGAACGGAACAAGAGCAATTCCTTCACTTGTCAGCTAACACCTCACCCCCGAAAGAGCCGTGAAAAACCCCCACCAGCCAAAAAGGCCAGCTCACTTTCTCACTGCGACTGTCAAAAACTCATTTATTATTTAAATAATATGAAAGAAGGACGGGCCAGAAGGAAACACGAATGAAATTCAGCCTGTTGTTCATTTTTATTCGGGGAAGACAACGCAAAAAAGGCAGCAACAAAACTTTTGTGTCAAAGTTCGAGCTTCTTTTTTATGATGATGATGATGAGGACCGACAAGTTAAATTTTCCTTGGCCCAAGGATGTTTGGTGTCAGTCCGCAGACATCCGTTGTCAGTTGGTGTGGCGAGAAAGGAATCGAATTTGGCAAGCCAAGTTTCAAAACTCGAACAAGACAATGCAAATCAAATGCTTGATTGCACATGCATAAAACAATTCCCCAGTTTATTTATGGCCATTGCAATACATTACGAGTTCCCCATAAATCTAGCAATGTTTGCATATTTCTGTTTGCCGTAAATTAAATTAAGACAATTGCCGAAAATTGAAACTTTTTTGGGCACCATCAATCCCGACCAGAGAGAGAGGCACGAATATGACGGAAATGAGCCCCACTGAATTTATTTCATGACATTTGCCACTTACAGTGCCTTATCATTGTCACGACCCATCTTTTGGCACTCAGTGTGTGAGGGGTTAATATTGTCTCCATTTCACTTTCTGCATAAATAATTGTTTATAGCACGTGCACATGACTTTAT